TGTTAAAGCAATAAGAAATATTGAAAAGGCTACTCTGTGAGAAACTCACCTGATGTTGATTTTTACACTAACACGAAATCACTGATAATTGCTGTGCTGATGCGAATTTGAACAAACAGTACGGCCTGTGATTTTACCCTTATTTATTGACAGATTCCCACCCTCAGGTTGGGTGGAGTTTGAATCAAATTTTCCCCAGATTCTTCGCGTAGGGAGGAGCTTGTAATAAGCTCAAGCCCTGAGTTCTACGAAGTTGAGGAAGTTCTCGTTGGGCGGTAGAACGACGTACTTGAATAGGATGATCGTAATTTGGGTCAGCTTTTGTACATAAAATCTTCCTTTTAAAACTGACGGGCGATGCCCTTGAAACGGTCCCCCCGTTCTTTTTTACCGGTATTTTGCACCTTCCGTACTACCAGTCAAAAATGGAACATACGCTATCAAACAGTTCCCTCTGTCGGTCGAATTAAAAAGGTACTTATCCAACGGATTGTTATGAGCTCGATATGACTTTGTCTGTCACCGTTCGGTAGCCCATAAAATCTTATCGGTCTTATAACTTTATCCCCTGCATAGTTATGGAACCAATAAGGGCAAATGTTGAGAAACCGGGCACAAAACCTTTATATTGTACTGTGGATGGCCGAGTATCAAACTCTTTCTTCAGCTTACAACTTTTATTCCACTCGGTATCGCGTTAACTACGGAACAGGAACATACTAACTTCAAAATTATGGAAAACTCGCTTTTCCGACTCGCGGGGTTAAATCTCTTCTGCACCCGGTCGTTGCTGTCACTTCACTCTCTCTGTCTGGTTCCCCTCGTCGCTTATATAGTTTCCTCCAGCTAACCCAGATAGTTCTCGAAATCTCCAGAAGAGGTGCAAAACTTCTAGCTAGCAACCGCTATTATGATTATTATTGTATATGTAACTGGTGGGCTTCCAGGATTGACACTTGCATAGTGGGCGATGACTCAACCTGCGACGTGTCCCAGCACGAGATCTGCCGCACCGAGTCCGGAGTGAGCGCCTGCCATTGTCGGCCAGGGACGGCGCGCAGGAAGCATCGCGACCCCTGCAGGAAAATCGTGTCGGTCCTGCTGTCGCTGCGGGTGGACCGGATCTACGAGCGCCGCATCGTCTGGGCCAACGAGCTGCTGGAGAAGAGCAGCGAGAGCTACGAGCAGCTCGCCTACGAAGCGGAGCGGGCGGTGCGCCGTTGATTAAACTCCCCCAACTCGCCTGCTCATCAATCAATTTCCAGCTGGAGTCCGCCATGTCCATGACGCCCTTCAGTGACGAGTATCTGGGCGCCTCGGTGAACAACATCTACCAAGGAGACCGCGCCCAGGGCCAGGCGGGGGTGTTTGTCAACGTCACGCTGCAGCTGGAGGAGAACGCCGACACCGCCCGCCCCTCCGTTAGGGGCGACATCCAGAAGCACCTGCTGGGCGTGATCCAGAGGCGCAGCAACAACGTGGGCAACAGCGCGCTCTGGGTGGACAGTCCGCCTGGATCCGTTTCCAGTCTCCAAGGTGGGACCCTCTGAAGCCCCGAAGGGCTTCAGTGAGTATAATGGGGGTTTCAGATCTGGACGAGTGCTCTTCGCCAGAGCTGCACGACTGCCACCTGCAGGCCGACTGCATCAACACCTTCGGCAGCTTCAAGTGCCAGTGTCGCGCGGGCTTCAGAGACCCTTGGCCGGACAACAAGCACAGAGCCGGGCGCCACTGCGAGCAGTGCTCCCCTGCCCACTGCAACAACAGGGGCGAGTGCCGGTATCAGAACGGACTGGAAGTTTGCACGTGAGTAGCCAGCTGGGGAGAAAACTGATTATCGAAGCTCGGATGTCCGCAGTTGTACTGGAAACTACTACGGCAGCCAATGCGAGCTCGATGGCGAAGTTCTAGGAGTGGCCATCGGGGCCAGTGTTGCCGCCATCATCATCATAGGGCTTACGCTGGTGTGCTTGGTCATGTGGAGGTAAGTGCGCATTGGATCATCGGCATCGGGGACAGCCATTTGACCAATGGGGTTTCAGCCGGAAGTGGAGCCGCGAGCAAAAGGCGGCCGTGGGCAGTCCGGTGTTCGGCTACATGGCCACAGCCGGCAACACTGTCAAGACGCCCGTGGTGGGCGCGCCTCCCTACCAGCTCACTCTAGAAGATCGGCTGCGCTGGGCGCAGATCGCCGACGTCATGGCCCAAGCCAACCATTATGCCGTAAGCTTTCGAGGTTGCCTAGCAAACTTTGACATCATATGCAAAAATATGCCAAATAAAGCTTAACAGACTACGAAGGCTTTCACGGCCGGTTAAATTACATTTAGGAATGTTTTTCGGTTCCGCTATGTTGATGACACTTTTGTTGTTTGGGGCCATGGTCTGACTGAACTGGAAGACTTCCTGAGGCACCTCAACTCAAT